TTCTTTTTTTACTTTTTTGTCAGTCATGGGGCTTAAACTCAGGGCCTGGGCACTGTCCCTGATCTTTTTCACTCAAGGCTAGCGCTCTATCATTTCTGTTTTCTGGTGGTTAACTGGAAATATGAGTCTCACTGAGCCAGGCACTGGTGGCTCACGCCTATAATCTTAGCCTCAGGAGGCTGAGATCTGAGGATCACAGTTCAAAGCGAGCCTGGGCCAGAAAGTCCATGAGACTCTTATCTCCAATAAACCACTAGAAAACTAGAAGTGGTGCTGTGGCTCAAGTGGTAGAGCACTCACCTTGAACGGAAGAACACAGGGACAGCACCCAGGCCCAGAGTTCAAGCCCCACAATTGACAAAAAAAAGTCTCACAGACTTTCCTGTCCTGACTGGCTTTGAACCATTGTCCTCAGATTTCAGTCTCATGAGTACCTAGGATTATAAGCATGCGCCACCAGTTCTGGCCTATTCTTTTTATAAGATTTAAAATGAGATGTTGTTTTCACCTATCAAACTGACAATACCCAAAAGTTAAAATGTAACAACAGTTTTTTTTAGGTTTGTTTTTTTTTTCCCCCTAGTCCTAGGGCTTGAACTCAGGGCCTGGGCACTGTCCCTGAGCTTCTTTTGCTTCAGGCCAGGACTCTTACCACTTGAGACACAGCACCACTTATGGCTTTTTCTGTTTACGTGGTACTGAGGAATCGAATCAAGGGCTTCATGCATGCTAGGCAAGTATTCTACCACTAAGCCACATTCCCATTCCCAGCCTCTGTACTTACAGTTTGATGCAATAATGCTGCTTCAAGAAATTTATACCAGAGAATATTCTTGTGTGTGAGAAACGATATATACATCACTACCTGATTGAACAAATGCCTAGAAATAGTCTAAATCTAACTAGTCTAAGTCAATCTATTCTAAGAATACTCTGTAGCCATTACAAAGAATGCTTATGTGCTTAAAGATGAAAGATATATTTTCCTTAACTGTGAGGGGAAAAAAGCATGGGATAGTATACTACATATGTATTTAAACAATTTTATGAGACTACATAGGATACGTCAATAATTGTGTACTACATCTGAAAGATTTAAAAGAACATGCTGCCAGCAATCATCTGCGGAGGAAGAAGGTGGCTGAATAGAAGAACAGAAGAGAAAAACTTGTCTCACATTTTTCTACCATTTTGATTTTCTACTGGTACATGTGTGACACAGCGAAACAACTTTAAAACATACTTTATAAAAAGCAGCATAACACACAAGTTCATGTGGCCTTCTATATACATTTTTAACCTCCAAGCAATCTCTTACCTGCTAGTTGGTGCAGGGAAAGAAAACGAAAGAAGCTGATTCCAAAATGGGTCATTTTCAGAGACAGATTCTGTGCCTGATAACTTTTTCAAGTACTCATTTTTAGGCAGATCACTGATCCTGCTGCTCTTTGATCCCATCTTCTAATGTGGTAGATAACTTGTCCTCACACCTGCATTTCCACAAAACCACCTAAAAAACAGAAACAAAATAAAAATTATTGAAAAAAATCATAAATTTTCCTAACCTTGATATACATGTATATACTTACAAACTTAGAAAATGAAATACCTTTCTCATTTGTAAGTATATTAGACATAAGATACAGTTAGAAGAGGAAAATGAGACTAAAACTAATTTAGCCAACACAAACAAAAACAATCTCTACTTGTCCCACAGATCTTAGGATGAACTAAGTCTCCCCAAGAAAATGTCTCAAAGCAAATTCATAACAATATAATTAGTCTGAAAAATGAACTTTTACAACTAAGACAGAAGTGCTAAAGGAATACAGAGACTACAATACTCAACTCAACCGTGCAGGAGGAGAAAGTATGTTCAAGTAATTAACATATGCTGCCTACACTTACAGGGGACTGTCCTGAATTATCTGCATCTAGTGAATGAGCCCCCAATTCCAAATAAGTCACATTTAATGTTGTCTGATCTGCAAAACTTTGAGGGTTATTTTTTTTGCTTATTTTATTTTTTTGATGATAGGAACTACCTTAATTTATATTTCTGTTGAGAGGATATAACCAGGATTCTCTAAAATGAATGAGTGAATAATCTGCAAGAAGGCCCGATGCCAGTGGCTCACACCTGAAATCCTAGCTACCCAGAGACTGAGATCTGAGGATTGCGGTTCAAAGCCAGTCCAGGCAGAAAAGTCTGTGAGGCCCTTATCTCCAATTAACTACTAGAAAACTGGAAGTGGCGCTATGGTTCAAGTGGTAGTGTTCACCTTGAGCTGAAGGGCTCAGGGAGTGCTCAGGCCCAGAGTTCAAGCCCCGGCTTTGAAACTAGATCCTCAGATCTCAGCCTCTTGAAGTAGCTAGGATTATAGGCATGAGCTACCAGTACCAAGCTAAACTTCCTCATTTTACACAAACCATGGCACATGATATTTGACTCCAATTCTGTTTTTACCACTGATCAGTAAATATTGGAAATTACTTCCTGTCCATCCCTGAAGCACTTCACATCTTTTGAAACTATTTAATTAACATTCTATTTTATAACTGAATGATATTTAGGTAGTTTACAGGTTCTTTGATTCTCCAATGAGAGATCTTACACAGCTGTACCAACTTACAGCCCACCAGCAAAGCCTATTTCTCCACTCCATACCCTCACTGCTTAATGAAACTGTTTGATCCCTACTAATAGGTAGAAAAAATTAGTTCTTCAGCAGTTTTAATTTGCATTTCTCTGTCCATGAGGCCATTATTACTCATATCTTTTGTCTACCTTCTACTGCAAAACTGTTAGGATAGACCATAAAATTAAGTACAAAAATAACTGATCAAACCAGTACTACTGAAACAATAACCATACCAATGAATAAATCCTGAACATTTATCAGAAGAGTCTTGGTAGAATACAGGGAAAATTGAGAAAAATCTACCAAACACAAAGCACAGGTTTCTTCTCCATTTTTTCTTTACAAAACCCTAGAAATAATGTCAAAAATAGTTTTTAAAAGTTGTGATTAGACAGTCATGCTATGGAAATTTTCAGGGAAGCAGAAACTTTAAAAAATCTCCAAAGATGGGAAACAACTGAGATGAGCTAAAAAGGGAAAAGGCAAAGCCTTCAAGGGCACATCACAAAGCATGAGAACAGCAACTCCTACTCAGAGGCAGAAAAGGCCAGAACCCAAGGACAACTAGTGGACTTGCTAAGGCACCCTGTGCAGTTTACCTTGCCCAAGTGGCAAGAACATAGGGTGCTGTTGGCTAAGAAAAGAAAGAAGACTATGCTCAAGGGAACTAGACTCTTCAGGAGAAACAAGGTCATTCAAGCAACAGTCACCAAGGTACTCCACCTGCTCCCCACCTGCCAGAATGCAAAACAAAAGCTAAGTTCCAATGGCATCTCTTCTATAAAGATTCAGGCCAAGAATTACACACACATACATACACACAAACAATGCTACTACTATTTTTTTT